GAGATTGCCTAGGAACAGTGGGTCGGCAACTTGCGGCTCGGCAAACGCAGCTCACGAAACACATGCGGCTCTTTGGCCCCTTGAGTGTGGCGGTATTTTGTGGAAGACCCACACTCAAGGGGCCAAAGAGCTGCATGTGGCTCACGAGCTGCGGTTTGCCGACCACGGGCCTAGGAGGCTAGTGTAGAAAGTGAAGATGTGATAGGACTTAACCCTGGGGCTCCAACACCAAGGGGTGAAGGAGAGGAGAAACCAATAAAACAGACAAGTAGATAGAATGGTGGGCTGTGAAAGAACTGGTCATGAGAAGAGAGTGGTTAACCATCAAGTGCTACAGATACAAGGATGGACCACTGACCATGGAATTTAGTAATATGAAGACCAATGAGACCATGCAAACAGGTTTTGATAGAGTGATGGGGACAAAAACCTAATAGATATGAGAACAGGAGGAACACTAGAGACAGGGAGAATGGACAGCTCTGTCCAAAAGAAATATGATACAGGCCACAAATGTGAGCCACATATATAATTTAAATTTTCTAGTAGCCATATTAAAAAAGTAAAAAAGAAACAGGTGAAATTAACTTTGGCAATATATTTATGTAACCCAATGTAACCAAAATATTTTATTTGTAATAAATATAAGTAAAGAATTTTAAATAAGATAGTTGTCACTCTATCTTTTATTCTAAATCTTTTAACTCTACTGTGTATTTTACATGTACAGCATATCTGAATTCAGATTAGCTACATTTCAGGTGCTGAATGGCCACATGTGCCTGGTGGCTACTGTACAACTCCTTTGAGGAATTTTGCTATAAAAGGGATTAGAGGAAAATGGTAGTTTTCAGAGGGGGTATGGAATCAAGTGTTTTGTTTTTAAATGAAGATTCGATAGCATTTTTAAATGTGATGGGACTCATCTAACAGAGATGGATAATTTGACAATGCAGACAGAGGGAACAATTACTCAAAGGACCGATGTCCTTCAGTAGGCAGGATGGGACCTAACGCACACTTAGGGATGCTGGCCTTATATAGAGGTGGAGAGGTTTATCATGATTCAGGTTGGGAGGCACATTATAGGGCACAGATGTAGTTGTGAGAATGCATGAAAATTCTCTTTTGACTGCATCTGTGTTCCCAGGGAAACGGGTAGCTAAAAATGTGAAAGGGGAGGACGTATTAGAAGACTGAAGAGAAAGGCAAGGGCATTAAAGAATCATAGAGAAAGTGGAAGAGTGAGTAGGAACATGTAGCATGGTTGCCAGGAATCACCGTTGACCTATTCGAGGTTGGTGGTCAGGAGTGTAAAGTGAGACCCATTAGCTTCACTTTGCATATGTCTCTCCCCCTTTCAATGGCACAGCTTCAGGTACCAAAAAATCTCCATCTAGTTGGATTTGATCAGGACTGGTGAGCAAGACAAATGAAGAGAGGAATAAAAGAAGTTGAGAATAAATGCAAGTGAAGGATTCTAATGATGGGATGTGGCATCTAAGCCAGTTGGAAGGCAGAGTGCCCATGATGGGAGGAGGAGCAGACAGATGCAGCAGGACGAATGGATTGTTGGAGGTAAGTGCTAGAGGGAGTGAGCTGGAAAGATGGTGGTATCGCTTAGAGTAGAATGTTTGGTTTGAGATTATAGGGAGGGTGTAGTTATTAGGGAATGGCAGGGATATTGGTATAACCATGGGAGTGCGCAGCTGAAACAGGATGGAGTCGGGACCCCTAGGGAAGAAGCTCCCAGAGGGGGGAAGGTGGTGGCAGCAGTGGAGCAGTGAGTGCTGGAGAGTGGGAGGGAGTCAAGAGCTCACTCCTCAAGGAATGTGGAGTGACTCAAAGGTCTGTAAAGGACAACAATAGGAGATGTGGGCCACAGAAGTATCCGATGACACAAACATCAAAAGTGGAGGATTTTAATGGGAGGAACAGTGGTCGGAAGCAGAAAGAAGGGGAAATCAGGGCCACTCTCCTGACCTCTGGGCTGTGGAATGAAGCATCTGGGAGGGAAATGGGCCACCTCTAGAGACTGCAAGGGGAGCAGGACCCTCAGGTTAAAGCCAGAAAGTGAAAGGAGGGGTCAGAAGATAAAGTCTAACTGGAATTCGGCCACACCCTCCCCTTACATAATTGCTGTGTTCTCCCCACAGAGTTGAATAGCTGGGACAGAGACTGCAGGGCTCACGAAGCTGAAAAGCTGTTACCTGACTCTTTACAGAAATGTCTGCTGCCCCTGAGTGGAGATGGACTGTGGGGAACAGAGGGCACAGTGGGCACAGTGGGCAGGATTCAGGAGTGGGGTGGAGGGGAGAAGGTGCAGATCAGAGGACACACAGCCTACATGGGATGGGAGACAGACTTTCTGTGGTAACCAAGAACAACAGGGAAAATTTCTGTCCTTTGTACCTTGAGATGACTACTGATTCACTGCCAGTGGAGAGTGTGCTGGGCCAGGGTCTGGGGTCAAGAAGGAAGTCCAGGTATGAAAACTGGGTTCCCTTACCAGACATGAACTCAGGGCCAGGGCAACATTGTTTTGAGGATTAGACTCAACCCTTAAATAACTCACGCCCAGAGCAGTGGACCTGGAAATGGGAGGCTGTAGCTGCAGGCTTAGCTTTGCAGAAGCTCAGATCCAGGCAGGGCCCAGCAATGATGAGGTTGGTCTAGGTTAAGGATTTTCAAACTGTGCTCCATGGAACCTTGGGGGCATCTCCGGCAGGGAGGCCAGAGGTGAGTGACTGGGGTTCTGGATCCTTTCCCCATATATAACAGTGGGCTCCCTTTGATCTGTGTTTTGCATTGGGCCTCTGAGTAAGGCTTTGTTTGAAAATGGGTTCTGCAGCTAAAAGGAGTTAGATGACCCTGGCCAGACCACATCTAAAGCCTCTCTGTGCTCCATGATTCTTTCAGCTCGGCTTGGCAATCTGACGGCTTCACATGTTAGCTGGTGATGCCTGGAATCCCAGGCAGTGGTTTGCCAGGGTGGGGGAGCAGGCTCCTTTCTCCACAGAGAAATGTTCTTTCCACTGAAGTCTAGATCATGGAAATGGAGACCTGCTCACAAGTTGGTCAGATAGCATTCCAAATCCAAACCAGATGTGGTTGCTAGTATTTCCGAAAAGAAAGCAATATGCTTATCGGAGTACAAGATGTTCACCATATATTATTCCGTGAAGGGAGCAGAGAGTAGACAATTTTCCTGTCTTTTAACCCCTGCTCCAACTTGATGCAGACTCTTTATTAAGTGTCTGTCTTTAGTTTTGAAGGGGTAGGAAATGCAGGGACAGGCCTGGGGGATGTTTGCCTTGGCCTGTGGGGAATGCTGTGTTTCTCCTCATTAGACACTGTAAAGGTGGGACCAGGCTTGGTGCCTACCTGTCCTGAGGGCTAGGTTCAGATGCTGATGCTTTGTGTGTGTGTATGGGGACGGGGGTGGGCGATTTCTGTAGGAGGTGTGTCTGGTGGTTCCTTAGCTGGACATTAGAGCTTTTAAAAGAACAGGGCAATGAGGCTCCAGAGGCCCCAGTGAGGCAGGACCAACATATGAGGAAGGAGACAGAAGCCTTTGTGGCTGCCGCAGCATGTCTGGAGCGGAGGGAGCTACTGTGAGTCCCCAGTTCTCAGGGTAGGCTGGGGTCGGGGTAGCTCACAGAGGCCTCTGAAGTCCTCTCCATGTTCACTCAGCAGCAGCATCTCCCACCATACCAAGGAGCTAACCCCACTTTAGGATGGAAATGTGACAGGTCTGTAGGAGGAAGGAAATGCCTCATCACAGGCCACCGGAAGGGCAATGCAGAGGTGAGAGAGCGGCTCTCGACCTGGCCCTCCGGCAGCAGGCAGGTACTCCCCTCCCCAGGGGCACCCCCAGGCAGACTCTCCTGACCTGAAGGAGGCAGGAGAGACCTTCCCCTAAATAGCTGTGGGGGGGTGCCAAGGAGAGCAGATATTTACCAGGAGATGCAAGGGAAACAGGGATACCCATTTAATACTATAAAGACAGTAGGAATGGGAGGCTCGGCTGAACAGAGGTGGTTGAGCTACACCTTCTGTGGGGGGTGGGGGGGATGTGCGCCATTTTTTGAGTCAGTAGGATTGGCTGAGATTTAGGCTGGATGGAAAGCCCCCGGGACCAGTGCCCATGGAGAAGAGAAACTAGGTCCCAAACATGGCCACGTGTGATATTAATGGGGAAGAACTCAAAGGGTCACGCTGAACCACAAGGTGAGCAAAAGGCTTAGAGTCAACTAGAGGTGTCTTTTGGGAGAATGCCTGCCTTTCTCCATTGGGCTCATGGTCTAGACCCCAGGGAGATGTGACCAGAATCTAGATGACCCACAAAAAGTCCACCCTCTGTGGTTGTGAGAAGGAGAAGCAGTACAAGGGGTGCAGGGGAATCTAAACAAGCTGGAGATGAACAGCGTTGCCCAGTGCGCAGGCGTGGCCGGCACCTGCTCCCCCATCCCAGGGCTCCTGTTGGATGCCTACCGGTGCTGCCTGTTCTCACCTCTTGTGCTCTAGTTAAGGCCGTGAATGGAGCACGGCGCTGTATCTGGTCAACTCCGATGCATTCATAAACATGAGAGAAAGCAGCGTCCTTGCCTAAACAAAATTGGTCCCAGCAAGATACCTCGTCTCTCCATGGCTCCCAGAAGCACCCGAGCTCAGCCTGGGGCTCTTTTCCACACATGTATGAAAAGTTCCCGGGAGACTGAGGCCTTGCAAAAGATGCTGGATTTAAAAAGGATTCAGGGACATTTGGAACAACCCACCTTAAAGACCTCTGCTATGTTTTACTGAGTTAATTCAAGGCATTTGTGGAGTCACTTGTTGTACATTCTGGCATGAAATTCTGGCAAAATCTCTTGTATAACTGCCTCCTCACTCCAAGTCCTCTGGAACCAGATATATTCCTGGCAAATAGTCTGATTTTAGTGCTCCTCAAGTCACCCAAATATCCCTGATGTTAATGTGGCCAAAGTGTGTCACTCATTGGTCAGGCAAAAATGGACAACAAAGTAAAAACTCTAAAATAGTTCCAAACCCTCACAAGCCATCCAGATGGCCAGAGACAAGGACATAACTTCTAATTGACCTCGATTTGCCCCCGTGTTATTTCCTTCAGGAAAGACCAGACACTCCCATGAGATCACAAGCAGCGAGTGGTCTGGAGAAACTGTGAGGCCTTGGTCTTCACTGGGACAGCACAAAAGGATTCAGGAAAATAGTTTCTTGGGATAAGAGCCAAATGACATATTGACCTTGACAATGAAGCCCGTCAGAACTCCAAGGCAGTGGAAACACAAGGTGGCTACAACTTGAGCACTCCATGGGCTCAAAGAAGCCAGCTAGTTCTTAAAGTGAAATCTTGCTGCAAAGGGACCCTCCCTTTAGAAAACAGCCGAGTCGTAGGAACCTCAACCACCGTGTGCTAATAAGTTACATCTCAAACAGCAGATGTAGGCATGTTAGATAGAAACATTTCCTAGAGAATCATTCTGTGAAGTTACTAATTCCTTGATGAGGAGATCACGTCTAAATTTTATTTAAGATTTCATACAATGCTTTTTTTTTTTTAAAAAAAAAGCATATATTGACTTTGCCTCATCTGATACTAAAATCCAGCAGCATGTCAAGGGGAGGCTGTGTTTGATTTGGGTTTGGCTACTCATCATCTTGGTCCTTCATAGTTCCCTGTTTTCTTCTCACCCACCTGTCTTGAGCAGCCTGGTTCCTTGGCCACAGAACAAAGCTCACTGCAGAGGTGAGAGGGGGCATCCACAACGCTTGTGTGCCAGCCCCAACCAGGCCCGGGGACTGCATGCTCACAGTCAAGCTGAACTAATCTGCTCAGTGACACAGCAGGGACATTGGTCAGAGGCGCTGTCAGGCCAGGTGTGGTTGGAGATGGAAGAAAACACCTTAAGCAGAGGACTCTCCTAAGTTGCATGAAGGACCCTGGGTCCCATCAAAAGCACTCACATTCAACTCATGCATGCATGCGTGTGTGTGAGTGTGTGTGTGTGTGTGCGCGCATGTGGGAGTAGTGGTGAGGAGGTTCCTAGATAATGGCTCCTTTCCCTTTGGAGAAAGTCTGAATTCAAAGAGATATTTAGTAAGTCCTCTTGTTCTGCCTGAGCCCAGAGCCACTGTGACCAGATCAAAAGGAGATATAAACACAAAAGGGAAGAGAGATATGTATTGGTTGGCGGCAGGGGTGAGGGGAGGAAGTAGAGAAGGGTAGCTGTACTTACCCTACAACCACAATTATAAAATCTAGTAAATTCCACCCGTTGCGGAGGTAAGCATTAGGGTGAAAGAGAAGTCCATAGGCTATTACTTTTAAAAATGCTTCCACAGTAAAAATGATGAGAAAGAGATATTCCACTCGTTCCTAGGAAACAAAAATAGAAGAGAGAGAAAAAGAAAATTGTTAGATTGGGGGTTTTATAAAGTTCTGCCCCATCAACTCTCACAAAAGGTGGAGGAGAATGCTATCCCCACCCCCATGGGAGGAATTAAGGGGACACTGGGTAGGACCCCCAAGACAAATTAGTAACTCCACAGTCTGTTTCATGATTAGAATTCCAATGCACTGGGCATTAGGTTTTTTGTTTGTTTTTAAGTCTTTAAATATCTTCTGTTAAAGTGTAAATATTATAATGGTCAAAAATTACACATTTTGGGGGAAACATCTTACTTAATCAGTGAATATGTCATAGTACCTTCTCAGGAGAGAACCCATCATGTCTTGATCTAAAGCAGTAGTTCTCAACCTTCTGGCCCTTTAAATACAGTTCCTCATGTTGTGACCCAACCATAAAATTATTTCCGTTGCTACTTCATAACTGTAATGTTGCTACTGTTATGAATCATAATGTAAATATCTGATATGCAGGATGGTCTTAGGCGACCCCTGTGAAAGGGTTGTTCGACCGCCAAAGGGGTCACGACCCACAGGTTGAGAACCACTGAAAAGGGAAACAATGCCTGGACATAGGAGAGGGTGCTGAGAAAGGACCGCAGGAGGAGTGTGCCATGATTCAAGGTAACAAACCCTGGAGACAACACAGTCTTGGTAGAGTACCAGCTGAGCTCTCCAAAAGAGCAAGCACACAGCTGTGTTTGAGACACTGAAGATCTCTCAACAGCAGCTGAAACAGGCAAAACTGCTCACATACACATGTCCAAAAATTTGAACTCTCTCTCTCGAGAAAATAAAATTCTGTCCAAAGACATAGAGCAGGTTAGCAGTGAAAATCAGCATTTCCGGGATGGAGACAGGCACTGGGATGGGGATAGTGAATGGAAGAGGTTCATCTCTTTTCTCAGCGGCAGGAGGTAGGCAGTCATTTCTTCCCTCTGCCACCTCGAAGAAGGGCTTTGCATTTAAGGCTGCAGCTCCTGACCCTGGGAACCCACACTGAACAGGACAGACTCTTTGGCTGAATTAGAGCAAGCTGACTCCAGGCTGATTCGCAAGATTTCTGCACCACTAATTGCTTTCTCCCACAACCATCCCCAGTGCAGATCCTTAATGGCCCCCATCAAGCCACGGCTGCTGCCTGGTTCTTCACACTCCACTGCTCGCCTCCGCAGGACCCTCAGCCCATCTCTCACTGGAGCCACAAAAACAACAGTCCATGTGGCATTAGGCCACAGGTCCTCTAAGCAGGACAGACCCGTCCACAACCTCCAGGAAGCATTCAACTCAGAACACCCAGACCTATTTTCCCATCTTCTACCAGGTCAAGTGGAGCTCACTGAAGGTCTCCCGTCCCACCCACATTGTAGAGTGAGCATCACCCGGGAAGGCCCTCCTCCTTCCACCAAGCTGCTGGAGGGTGCTCCGAGATGGGGGCATTGGGAGCCTGATGGGTATCTCTGCAGGAAGAGGTCCGTCCATGCATGTCCCTGTGCTCCCTTCATTCTTTCTGGATCCCCTACTGGCCTTACCCCTGGGGTGAAGCAGTTTAAGGATGCAAAGTTTAAAAAAAATGCAGAATTCTGGGCCCCAACCAGACCTACTGAAGTAGATCTCCTGGTTATGCAGCCTGGAACTGTGCATTACAGACAATTTCCAGGTGTCTCTGAGACACGTGAAGTTTAAGAACCACTGGCCTGTGTGCGGATGCAGGCCCAGGTCAGGCAGCAATTGTGGGAAGGGAATGGAGAGATCAGATTGAATCAGCATCTCAGAGGCAGGCATCCATCCTTTACTTTCTACCCACTGGAGCATCATAAAGTTAGTCTGGGGATGAGGCTGCCTAGGAGCTGTGACCCAGGTACAAATCACAATGTGTGGGAGCCTCCAATCTTCTAAAATTAGGTTACTTTCTGTTAAAATGAACATCAGAGTAGTGTTGAAAAGGAAACAAAAGGGCATAGTGCAACCTGAGGAAACTTGTGGAAGGGGGGTGGGGGCTGTCAGACAGCCACACAGGCCCATCCCCATGATGGTCAGAGCTTTCATGTTTATGCCAGATGACAGACCACCTCCTCTGTATCCCAGAAACCTCTGTGGAAAATCCACGGAGTTGGAGCTGGGATGAGAAGGGAAGACAAGGAAAGGGAAATAAACATGAGCTGGGTACCCACTAGGTGCCAGGCATTTTCATATGTTCGCATATGTGCTAATTACTTTTACATGTCCATCCGCCCACATCCATCCAGTCATTCATTGTCAGTGTGGAACAACCAGCCGAACTATCTTAAAGTACCACTGGAGCTCCCTCTGGGGTGTCTAAACCTTCTGAGAGAGGCAGCACCCAAGCTTAGAGCACCTCTTCCCCAGGGAAGGGAGAACAGTAATATCCCAAAGGCTCCGAGGGCCCTATGTGCTGGGAAGCCAGCATTCCCAGACAACTCTTGTAAACAGCTGGCACCCCCAACCCAGACTGCCTGGCACCAAGCAGTCTATTTATTCCCTCATCTACAAGGCTGCTCTTCCTTGCTTGATTTCCCTATAAAAAGAGAAAAGCCAGGGGGCAGAGGGGTCCTGGTCCCCTCTGCTGCGATGCAGCCCCACACTGCAGACCAGTGGCTTCCTGGACCTAGCACACCTCTTTGTGAGATGGGAGACTAAAGGGGGACATGTCTGTGGCTTCTCTTGTGACCTTTGGCCTTTTTAATTCTTCCAATAAAGTCTAAACCAGCCGTGGGCAAACTACGGCCCGCGGGCCGGATCCGGCCTGTTTGAAATGAATAAAACTAAAAAAAAAAAGACCGTACCCTTTTATGTAATGATGTTTACTTTGAATTTATATTAGTTCACACAAACACTCCATCCACGCTTTTGTTCCGGCCCTCCGGTCCAGTTTAAGAACCCACTGTGGCCCTCGAGTCAAAAAGTTTGCCCACCCCTGGTCTAAACTATGTGACATTTGTCCCACACCCTGGCACATAACACGTGGAGACTCAGAGGACCCATCTGACATGACAGTGAATCACTCAGACATTGACATACACATGTATGTGCTGGGTGGACTTCCCAATGGTCAGCATTTCTGAGACGAAGCTTGAAGGATGAGTGTTGTGCAGGTGGGGGTGGGGGTCAGGTACTCCACGTGGAGGGAGAACTAAGGAGGGGGGGGAGTGTGGAGAGCTTCAGGAAAATGCATACATTTTGATGCGGCTGGAGTGAAGGCTGCGAGAAAATTGGGGGTGGAAGGGGATTGGGTAGATGACCAGGGGCCAGTGTGCCACACCTGGGGGGCTCGGATTCCATTCTGAGGAGCCTGGAATGACGGGGTCAGATGTGCACTGCAGTGTTGCCCTTCCATAGAGCATGACAGTGGTGACGGGGGTGGGGAGGGTGGGTGAGTGACCCATACAGAGGTCATAGTCTCAAGCCGCAGTAGAGACAGAGGGACTAGTTGAGCAGTAGGTGATTTGAGAGATACTTTATAAAAGATGTAATTTGGTTTCTGATTGCACGCAGGGGTTGGAGGAAAAGGCAGTGAAAGAAGTGCACTGTCCCCTCCCTGAGGTTTCTAATTGGGCGACTCTGGATGGTGATGCCTCTCACCGCAGTAGGGGACTAGGAAGAGGAAGGGGGAGAGACATCAGTTCTGGACTTGCTGAATTAGGGCACTTGTGGGACATCAAGATGCAGAGGTGGGGCTCAGAGGGGAGTGCAGCTTGCAGGGAGGGCTGAAGGAGGTGGCCCTGGGAGAGCGTGCGGACTAAAGAGAAAAAAAGCTGAGGCTGGAATCCAACCGTGTAAGGGACAACCTCATCCCCAGGAAAGCACGTCCTCATTGTGACACTTATCTCCTAGGCAGAAGTTACAGGACCCTTCCTCAAACCAGGCGTGTGAGAGAAAGGGATCTTGGCAGTTATCCAATTAACCTCCTCATTTGAAAAATTAGGAGACTAATAAGATACCAAGGCCAGGGAGGCACAGGCCAAGAACAGGAAACCAGATTTCCTGACCCTCAATCCAAAGGTCACTTCATCTCATCTGGCCTCCCTGGTCACACTGCTCTTGCTAAGGACCTGGGATAGAAGTGAAAAGGGACCAGGGAGTCAGTAAGAAGGAGTGTGAACAAGAACCCAGAGGAGGGGCAGGTGCCCGTGGGTGCAAGATCTGGACACAGCCATCTGTGCTGACTGCCACTGGGAAAAGCATTGTATTCACTCTGACCTTAGGGGCATGAATGTTTTTACAGAATTAATCTAAAAAAAACAAAAAACCCTTAAATAAATGAAACAGCTTCAGTGATCCTTTGAAAATATGTGCTGTACTGCTATAGAAACATCTAAGGGTGAAAATGGATGGAGTAAAGAAAAACAAAACTTTGTCACAGATTATTCTCTTGCTGTTGATACCCCGGTGTCGGTGTCTCCAGTCCTGTGAGGACACACTGTTGAGTAGCCCCCTCCTGAGGCCCGAGCTCCGTGTGCCCTCCTGAATCTGCAAGGGCCGAGGGGCTCTCAGAGAATGCACCCAACAGTCAGCATGTGAATGGCCCTTTCTGTGCTCTTGGGAACCAGGGAACTTTGGAAGCCAACCTGGAACAGACTAAGATCCTCATTCCTACTATTCCGTGTTGAGGTTGGAAAGGGTGGAGGAGGTAGAAAAACTGCAAAAGAGAGAACAAACCATGGGACCAAGTCAGGGAAACACCAGACTCTCAAGGCTGCGAATGTGGGGACTGGATTCCCCAGGGCTCCTGGAGGAGCCCCTTCCTTGGGGCAGTGTGATGACCGGGCCCTGGCAGATGGTCCCGTCTTTCTTCTTCCTTTCTATCACGTCTCTTCCTCTCCAATGCTATATTCCTCCTCTGCTTCCTTTCATTTCCATGTTCTTCTCCCTTTCTTTCCTCTCTCCCTGCTCATTTCTTAGGGCTACCACTGGCAACCAGGGCCCATGGTCACACCCATGTTGGAAAC